GAGAGAGAGAGAGAGAGAGAGAGAGAGAGAGAGAGAGATGGTGGTACGTTTCTAGCTCAGCTTATCTCTGCTGGCCTACAAATTAACACGGCGCATGGCCTTTGTCACGATGGACAGGCTAGCTATATCCATCCGCTGCCCTGAAAACCCTCCAAAACTCCACCGTTTTGACCGACCGACAACTCTCATCTCGTCCTCCTTCACACCAACGTGGCAACGTACTACATCATCTACTTATGAAAGCGCATCATCTTGGTCTTGTTCACGACAAGGCATAATAGCCAAAACTAAAAGATTTCATTAATATGGATGTAGACCCTGATAGCGATATCGTATATCCGAGTAGCAGCTTAATGGTTAATTTCAAAGCAGCAGGTATGTTGTCTAGAAAATTTGGGAACTATACAAATTCAGTCTATCACGTAAAGTATGTTGGGCTATGCAGGCCGGCGTGATTTGCCAAGGAGAAAACGATGTCTAACGAGCGTTTCATTTTGATTAGCACTAATCAATGTGGCCGGCAGGCTAGCTGTGTCCATCTTCCTTTTTACTTAGAAAAGAACGTTGTGTTTCCCTTTTTTGTCCTTGCTCGAGTGATGCGCGAACCCATGGTTGCTACTCGTACTGTTCGTTTATATACCGATCGATAAACACGGACGCAAAGTTTATAAACTGATGAGCAGGAAGGAGGGTCTAGAATCAGTTCAATTCTCGGTGATCATCAGCGAGCAAGCGTGCTTAGCACAAAGATGATATGGTTAGCAACCTGTGGTGAATACAGCGTGTTCTTAAACGTACGTCGAGGACACACACGGTGGACGATATGGCCTAGGCTGCTGCAGAGATTTCAATTGGATTGGATGGCCTGCATGCACGCCGGATCACACACATATTCTCCTCTGAGTACATTGGTAGTTGTGTGTTTCGTCGTGTGTGGTTGTCCAGTTCGATCGTGACCCATTCCGTTGTTGTCCAGTACATTGGTAGCTGATGTCTCTTCTGAATATGAGTTGCCAAATCCGAAACCCCAACATATCTGTGGACGCGCCAGGACCCGTCTACACATAACGCCGAACCGGCCCTCAAAGGACTCCATTTACTACTACTACTACAGCCTTTACTTTTGAAATGTTAAATTCATACAAACTTATGCACATCCATCATCACACATAAACAATAAGTAGCGCACACAAATACAAATAGTTCGCATTTAAAAATACATAATTCAAACATAATCCAAACATAAAATTTGTTGAAAGTGCATAACTAAAAACATAAAAGATCATAGTTCAAGGATTTTTTACGTGGATCCACACATGATTTACAATATCATTTATGAGTTGCATACGCACTTGTTGATCTCGAATTTGTGGATGCGTCCTCAGAAAGTTGGTAATATGCTCCGCCAATTGTTCCGGGAGGCAGACTTGAACACCGGGCTTCTCAGAAACGTGGATGCGGACCGCCTCTTCACCCTCATCCTCGACAATCATGTTGTCAGTGATTACACAACATGTCATGAGATCCCAAAGTGTCTCAGCTTCCACATCATTGCAGCTCCACGAACAATACCCCAACCAACTTGGAGCACTCTGAATGCCATCTCCACATCCTTCTTAGCACCTTCTTGCGCTTGTGCAAAAAGACATTGGTTCCTACCATGAGTATCCGATATAGTCTTTGATACGTCCATTTTGCATTTTGCATCACTATTTTCTATTGCAATTTATCGTATTTCAATTATATATTTCACATTACGATGCAATTCAAATGTCTTTTCTTTCTTAATTGCAAGGTATACCTAGAGAGGGAAATTTCCAGACAAATGAAACTCTGCACATAATTTGCAACAAAAGGAAAAACATTTTTTCAGAGCTCAAAACATGCCAGGGATTTTTGTGAATTATTTCTGAAAAATATGAAGAGCGAAGACCGAAGGAGGGCTAGAGGGGAGCCACAGGGGCACCAAACGGCCTGGACACATGGTGGGCTCGTCTGGTGGCCTCTTGGCTGCATTACTGATGCCCTTTGGCTATAAATGCCATTTTTCCTTGAAAAAATGACAAAAAATATTCAGGACTTTTGCTCTCTCATGGAGTGGCCTTGAGGTTTTTCCTGTAAGGTGGAACTGAGGCGGAGCACTTTTGCTCTCTCACAGAGTGATTCTGGTGAGGAAACTTCCCTCCGGGAGGGGAGATCTAAGCCATCGTCATCATCAACACCCCGTTCGTTATCAGGATCTCCATCAACATCTTAACCAGCACCATCTCCATCCCAAACCGTAGTTCAGCATCTATTCAATCTGGGTACTATAACCTTCGATTGGTTGCTGGGAGTACTTTTATGTGTTGATTACATCTTATAATTGATGCTTAGGAGTTTTACACCCCCCAAAAATAATTACTATGCATTAGTATATTTGATTAGCATTAATATAACTTTTGTTTGGTTATTCTTCATAGCTTGCGTAACTCCCATCATGCATGATCTGGGTGCACACATGAATGTTTTCTTTTATAATCCCATATACTTCCAGAAACCGCTATAAATTCCATCGAAGATGGAATATTTTGCTGATAAGATGGGGATGTTTCTTAAGAAAAATGGGTGGCCCGGTTAATTTGGAAAGTTTACTTTGATCAATTTGGACAGAAAAAAGGCTTTTCGGCCAGTGAACTCAAGCATATGTCGATATTTACTTTTGGTTCCTAGGAAAACACGCACCTTTGAATCTCATACTTCGAAACTGGACACGATGTGTCCCACACCCGACTTCGGACTCCAAACTAACGTCATGTGTCTTTTGACCCAAATTGACAGTGATCCTACTACTTAACCTCTTAAAGTAGGCTACAGTTGTTTTAATCACTTTATTATTGAGTTATCATGTAAGCCTCCTCCAAAATCTTATATTGCATGCTGGAGTATTAAGCTAAAGCTATGTTCCAGTTGAAGAGATAAACAAATAGTTATAGGAATATTGTAGGCGCTATTGATTCGAGGACAAACCCGTTATTAACACCACATACACTCTAGAATTCTTGTTAGTTATATACAAATCAACAAACTTTTATTAAGATATTTTTCAAACTCGTATATTGTGAAACCCTATATGAAGATATTTAAAATTACTAAAAGAGCTACAAACGCATGAAAACAAACTATAGTATATCTATAGAAACCCGCGTAACTATTTCATCGGTGCACAACTTGTCACCAATGTGATCTTGTCATATTTTTGCTTTACGTCAATTTAGATGGCATGTCACCACCGCACCGGGCCCAGGCGAATCACAAGTGGGCACAAGGCCAATGGGCCAGGAAGGCCCGGCCCAGGCACTGGGGAGCGCCCCTGCGCCCCCACTGGTGAAGGAATGATCGGGTCACCAGCTGCCCCCCCCCCCTCCCCCCCGGCCCACGCACTGGTAAACTGGGCCATTCCGCCAGGCCCAGCTGAGGCACATGCCCGTTCGGCGTCGTC